GCATGCATAAGCCCAGGCTTTCTGTGGCTGGCCGCCGGTGACGATATTTATGCCACTGACTGTGACACATAGCTAGAGCTCAGTGAATCAACCGGGCGATGATGGTTCGGGCTAGCTGAACAGACTTCAACGGCACAATTAGAAAGATAAGGATCAAGAGTCCAAACAAACTACAACATTCGGAGCGTCTCATTTCCCCAAGGCTGAAAATCCTGGCGCAGGACTTGCATCGGACGTCGGCATGTTCCATCACTTTTACGTGATGTCTTGCCGTAAAACAAAGTCATGGCAGTGTAAATCGCGCGCAGTGTGAAGGAATTCTTGTCTCTTGGGAGACCCTGTGAAGCAAATCTCTCCTCTACATCTTGCGTATCGCTGTCGCTAGCACTGAAAGCCCAGGCCATAGGTGTCGACGCCTGTCGTTCTCCTGATAATGTAAGGTTGCTGTCGCAAATGGATAATCACAAGGACCAGGAGACGGGGGATCTTGGTCCCAGCATCCCCGTCCAAGAGTGGTCCCGACTCCCGATTCCATGACTTTCTAGAAGCCGTTCCGTGGCTTGCATCGGCTTCTGAAGCCTTCGAAATGCCTTCTTCAGCCTAGCTAGCATCGACGCCAGCGTCAAACAATGACACGCCCCACGCACCATGGCGTGCAATGTGACATTCATCGCGCAGAACCACAGTCTAACAGACTCCTAATAGACTCCATGCGATCCTGCCGAAATGAAGGACGCGGGAAAACTCCCACGAAAGCACACTGTCATGATCAAGCACCGCATGTATGATGTTACAGTGTCTCCGATGAAGCCAAACCCACTGGGTATTGCCCTCTCCTGCACGTTGCAACAGACCCGGGGTTGGCTAGCGTGAAACAAGGGTATCTTCTGCAAATGCTCAGAAGATTCAAGACCCCTAGCGATCGGCTCGTTTGAGCGACTAGCGTTGGGTGTCAATGCAGCAAGCGAGGTTGGTCAGACTTCCCTTTGGCAGAGTCCCGGAGCCGGCACATGCAACACCTGCAACACCTGCAGAGCTAGCCAGAACATGTTGGCGAAACCACGACTCTGGCGAAGTCTCGACCATGACTAGGCACTTTCAACGATGGGTTGCAACCTGGAACATTACTTCCAAACGTGGTAAGCGGCGTGCGTGGCTGTTTTCATGTCTTCGAGATCGACAGGCTTTGGAATGGAACGGCTCGCTTTGCAGGCTTTGACATGCGTGTTGTAGGTACAGGGATGTTCTGCCGGCTGCTATAGGAAGTGGTCGCTACAGTTCCACGAGTATGGGCAGTGGATGCTGTATGAGGCCTCCATAGCAGAACATCCTTACCTACTGAGATATTCTGGAGCGTTTGCTCCATCGCAACATCTGCTGGTGTCGATCCGGTATTGATGCCCAACAGGCTCCGCGACGACCGAGATTGACCGGAGGTGCTCAGTTAAATCCACCGAGGCAAGGGTCAAACAGACATAACGAATTGGAGCCGTGGAAGGAGGACGTTTTCTATTTTGCGGTGAGTCGGTGACACATGCTCACCTTCGCCTCGGTCCAAATCCCCAGCTTGTGGAATGGACGAGACCTTCGCCAGGATAAAGCTGTAAAGAAAACGTAAGGAAGTTGAGGATTCGCAATCGGAGAGAATGCAGGAGCTGGAAATGAATCAGCCCGTGCCAGCATGATACTGAGATCGTTGTTAACAGTGCCCTTAGGATGAAGTATTGTACGGAGAACAATACTTTACAAGTCGGTAATGGAAGTGGCCAACTGCGTGGGAGGTTGAGGGTCGGTTTCGGAGGCCCAGATTGTTTGCCATAAGGTAGGACCAAAGGCCATTTTGGCTCAGGCAGCTTATAGGCGGCGACTCGGGGTACCTGCTCGCAGGCTCTGGGCGGTTTCTGGAGGGGAGACGCCTAGAGAGCCTTACCTGGAGGAGCCTGAGGTGAGCAGCCTACAGGTAGCAGGTATGTCTGGAAACTAAACCGAAGGCTGCCAAGAGCCTACACCACATCACATCCCTCACCGTCTACCGGGAACACAGCCTCACTGACCAGGATGGTACTCGTCCCATCGCAAACGCAAGGTACTTACAACAGACCCAGGCGTCACTCGACGAGTCAGGCATGAGAGAGCGACAGCGATCGTCGTGCAGAGCGAGCTGATCTATTACAACGATAGCCAGAGTTGGTCGCGCCGATCTTGCCTCGCCTACATGCCTCACCCCGCCACATGTCCCAGCTATTGGAGTTCAATCTCCTCCAGAGGGGCCGCGATGACAGTTTCTCAGAGACATTGCAATTTGCAGGGGACGAAGTCGGAGTGACTCCTCGAGCACCACATGACCATGATCAACGTCCCCATGTCGACCAGTCCCCTTGCAGTGTGAGCGCGAATGACTCAAAGCAGTCTTACTCCGAAACGGCCACTTGCAAACCAAAATTAATCAACCGTACTTTCATCACATCCGCTATGGCGAACGGCGCCTCCCGAGCCGATCAAGAAAGAAATCCCAAATCCAAGGGTCAAGACCCCATCGTCTACTCGTATCGAGCGCCAGGCCATGTCGGTGAAGCGATCCATTCCGGGACCATCCCTTCTCTCCTGCAACGCTTTTGAGTCTTTTCAGCGGTCACAGACAGAAGAGCGACAATGTCCAGTTTGAGTCAAAGGTTCAGATACCGCCGGTGTGGCAAGGCTTGCCGTCCATCCAGAAGACCTGACAGCTGTCAACGCCACCGGGGTCTGTAGATAGAGCAAGAAAGGTATGATGAGCGAGATGGAAGCAAACACCCTACGACGCTACAAGAAACCTAGGCCCCATGTCTGCTGCACCTCCGAGGAGTCTCTTCCCTGGGATAGAGACAAGCCCTTGTGATCCGCGCTCCAGAAGCCATGTTTGCTTCCCTCTCCCAGGAATGGAGTCCTTTTCAAAATCACGCCCTTCAGTTCTTGTCACGTCGATTCATCACATCGCGTAGCATCAAATCACGGAAACAGCAGTCGAGAGACCACGATTGGACTGTCGGGCACCCAGGCGAACGACTCCGCACCCCCGTGTGGGAAGCTACTACTTCAATTCGCGATCCGAACTTTCGGATCTCACTCGCCTCGATGAATATGTCTCCAACAAAGTTAACTGTCCGTGGCACCCCGTACCCATGTGTGTGCACGACATTATTATTCGAAACTCCACGCGCACCATCCCCGTGTCCCTATTCGCATGCAATGCGCATGCACATGTACATGCATGGGTGCCATCCCGCCAAGTTTTGCGAAACCTCGGCCACCCGAGCCTCGCTGAATCTACTACTGTAGACACCGGAAAACAGAAATCTGACCAGTTCGATTATTATTGTTACTGGTCCGGAACTGATACCCAAGGGTCTCTGCTTTGGGCCACGCCGATGTATAACAAATATCCAAAAAGCCCGCAGGGACAGACAGGAGGCCTTCGTGAGCCCCCACATGGAGATGGATACGCTGTCGAGTCGAGACTGGGGGGTGCAGTAGCCAGTTAAGTTACCAATGGGCCGGTCTGATGACGGTTGATGATTTTCCGGTGTTTTAACACCTGAGGGGCCTCCCAATCCGTGCTTTCGCTCGGATTGAATGGTACGGGGGGTGGCTATACGTAGCAGTTGACTATGAAACTATTGGCATTGACTTTGAAATTGACACTGTCTAGGGGACCGAACCCACGGCCACCGGGAGACGGACATTTGGAACCATCAGCAGCCAGGCTCCTTGTTTGTCGTAGAGGTTACGGGGGATATTTGGACAGGAGTGCCATACGAGGTATAATATACGGCGTTGCCCGCATAGATACGAGTAGCTGTGGCCTTGATTGAGCGGCCCAACTCAACAAAGTCCCAATGGGGATATTCGTCCAAATCCCGAAGGATCTCTGAGTCCGTATCACTATCACAATCACATTTTGGCCCCCTTATCCAGTATGAACTCCTTGACCAGCTTCAACGCCTCGACGGCGAAAGCCACCATGTTTGCATGCCTGTCGTTGCCACACTGGGTCGTGAGATCCTTGCTCAGCGCCCCTTTGTCGCTCACAACTGCCAATGCAACGTAGCCCCTGCGGTTAGATTCAGCCTTAGAGTCAGCAAAAACTGTTCTTTTCGATAACGGATATATTTTCCATCTCCCAATATTTTCCCCCAAGGGTACAAAGTACAGGGCAGGAATCACAAGGGCAGTGGAAATCCGGAAACCCGGTCTCGGGGTTTCGCCGAATGAAATCTCGGTTTCGGATTCAGTATTTTGGCCTGGGTCGTGGTCTGGGTCTCTGAGCTTCCCCCCCCTCTCTCTCTCTGAGTTTCTCTCGCGGAGCCAGTCTTTTCAGCTTTCCGGGGGGGAAACAAGTCACAAGACTGGAATGGGACCAGGCGAGGGAAGGGAAGGGAAGGGAATTGCGCAAACAAAGGTCCAATGTGTCGTGTTTGGGAAGTTCCCTTTGGTATCGAGTACGGATACGAAGATGGAGATGACCGTTTACGGACGACAGGGAGGTACTTACGGTTGCCTATTCGGGGCCTCTCCACCCGTTGGTCCAGCTGTTCCGCTCTGAAATTGTGTGAAGAAGTGAGTAAGTACGTGAGGTCAACGGAAAAGGTTTGCGCTCGAGGACGAGAAGAAGGAGGAGGAGGGGAAGGAGGCGGTGGTGGTGATGGCGCTGTCGATCCCAACCTCAACCGGAACGGAATGAATCAAAAACAAAAGGTCTGGAATTCAAAAACGGACAATCAAAAACGGACAATCAAAAAGGGACAATCAAAAACGGACAATCAAAAACGGACAATCAAAAACGGACAATCAAAAACGGA